ATCTTCTAATGATTCCTGACCATCCTCTTTGGTGTTTAATTAGATAGTTGATAACGTAGCCCTTCTGCAAATCTCGGCTCTTTGGTCTTAACATAGGAGTAATAACAGTTGAGAATGACACACACAAAAAAAAATATAAAAAGATAAATAATAAAGTAAGTATATTTCTCTCTTTATTTTGTTTTTTTTTTTTCCATTTAATCTATAATTTATATATGTATTTTCCTTTATTATTTAATATACGAAGTTCTGCCCATTTAAGTTGTGTGTGTGTATATATAAAATGTTTCAAAAATCACTCACTTGCTAATTAAGGTTCTTTGAAGACACTGAACTTTTCTTACCATATTTACTCTTTTGGCTACACAATTTTCACTGCTGGCTCTAGTAATTTCTTCCATTTTTTAGGTTGACCAACTTGTTTTCGACGTGATGCGTGAAAGGTTTTCCTAAACTGGGTTTGTACATTGTTTAAATGATTTCCAGCTTCCTCTTTGTTGACTATAAAGAAGAGTGTTAGTTCCTTAATTGATGATTTTTGTGAAGTGAATTGTCTAGATTACTTGGGAGTGCAGGTTACATGGTTATCTGCTCCTTGGTTCCTTTCAATTTCTGTAAATATGCTTCCATCGGAAAGTGATGAGTGATATGTAGGGGTGTTAGCGAACAGAGCTTTCGACAAACTACTCGTGTTCGGGTCCGGTAAGCGTTCGTTTATGTTCGTTTGTTAAGTTAAACGAACATTAACAAACAAAATTTAGAGCTCGATTAATAAACGAACAGAGCTTGAACAGTTGTAAGCTCGTTTGCTAAGAGATCGTGAACAAGCTCGTTTGTGTTCGTTTACTAATGTTCATGAACAAGCTCGTTTATGTTCGTTTAATAATGTTCGTAAACAAGCTCGTTTGTGTTCGTTTAATAATGTTCGCGAACATGTTCACAAACATATATTATATTATATTATATTATATTAGTTTTGTAGTTGTGTTGTTTGTTTGATTATTGTTCGTGAACGTATATTATTTGTTGTTCACGAACGAATTGTAATCATAAACATGTGCATGTGTTTGTTTATTAAGTATTCATGAACGTAAATGAATATGTTCGTGAACGTGCTTGTTAACGAACATGTTTTTGAACGTGTTTGTTAATGTTAACGAACACGTTTGCGAACGTGTTCACGAACGTTAACAAACACGTTCGTGAACATGTTCGTTAACGTTAACGAACACGTTCGTGAACATGTTCGCGAACGTTAACAAACACTAACGAACACTTAACAATCGAACACGAACACGATTTTCAAAAACCTTAACAAACGAACACGAACACTCCAAATTCCTTAACAAACGAACACGAACAACCTTCGTTCGTTTATGTTCGGTTCGTTAACAGTCCTAGTGATATGCTTCGCTTGTGTTTATGGACTATCAATTGAAAGGAACGAAGGAGCAGGTTAGTTTATGGACTAATTGATAGTCCATAAACTAATTGATATCACTTTCTATGGACTATCAATCATATTAGAAAACTATTAAAAAAACTGTTAGAAACCCTTTTTACTTGTGCACTTGTTCCTAAAAATTATTTAAAAATTATTTAAAATGCCAACTCAGCTGCCACGTAAGCAGGTAACCAATTAAAAAATTTAAGGGGATACCAGTGAGAATAAGAACTAAACGGCGGAGCAAGCATCAAGTAAATCCAAGTCCCTTGATGCCTGCTCCGCCGTTTAGTTCTTATTCTCACTGGTACCCCCTTAAATTTTTAAATTGATTTCTTTATAGATTGTTCTCTACATTGCACTTTTGTTGTTTGTCACAATTGTTATTTACCTCACAATTATATCTAACTTGAGTTATATTTACAATATTAAGTATTTTCCTTAGTTTCATGTTTCTATAAATTTAATGTGCTTTACAGTCATTCTAATTTTGATTTTCAGTGCACTAGAATTATTTTCTAGTACTGGAATATATTGCAAGCACACTACCAATGACAGATTGTGTTCTAAAAATTAACTATATAGTACTTTACCCTTGTTTTTCTAATATCAACTATACAGATAGATGATTATTCATCTTGTCAATAAAAATATTTCAAATGAACCAACTGAAAAGTCGGTTGTGCAAAAAAAGTTAACTGATGTTTGGTAATTAGTACTTAGTATTGTGTTTGGATTTTGGATTGCTATTTTAATTTGTTATATAATGTTTAGAGATTGGATTTGGATTATGTGATTATGTATTATTTGGTAGTATGTTCGAAAAATTAGGAAATGTTGAAATTAGGGGATCTTAAACCGAACCGAATCGTTTCAAATCGAACCGAAATCGAACCGAACTCTAAAGTTATATCGAATGGTTTAACTTTTTTAAAACCGAAAAACCGAAACTAAAACCGAAAAAAATCGAACCGAAACCCGAAACGCCCACCCCTAGTTTTGGATATAAGGAATGAAAGTTTGACATTTTGAAATCAAAAATATAAATTAAATCAAAAGTCAGCGGTACACGAAAAACTAGGACATACCCTGATTACACTAGAAACTAAAACTAAAAAAATTAAGTGTAGAACAATTTTAAACAAAGGATTTAAATCAAAAGTCAATGGTACACGTAACACCGGGACATACCCCTGATTACACCAGAAACTAAAACTAAAAAATTAAGTGTAGAACAATTTTAATTTTTAAACAAGGGATTTAAAATACACAAATTATGTTCTGGACACGAGTCCAAAACAACGTCATGTTAAGGAAAAATGCGGCATTTCAGTTAAAAAAAATTGATTTTGTCTCGCCGTTAACGGCGTTATTCGTTTGTGGCATTATGAATGTACAGTTATGGAATTATGAATGTACAGTTATGCAATTATGAATGTACAATTATGGAATTATGAATGTAAGTTATGGTATTATGAACACGAAGCTCTGACACTATGAACTTACAATTATGAATATATAGTGATAAAATTATGAACATAGAGCTCTAAAATTGTGAACATAGAATTTCGAAAATTATGAATTTACAGTTATTGAATTATGAATGTACAGTTATGCAATTATGAATGTACAGTTATGCAATTATGAACACAGAGCTCTTACTTTATGAACTTACAATTATGAACATATAGTGATAAAATTATGAACATATACTCCTATAACAAAATGGTTTGAAATTAAAAAAAAAGAAAAAAAAAATGGAAGAGAACGGTGCCACTAACGGCACCGTTACTGTGTCCAGCATGCATGCTGGACACGGATCCATAGCATAACGATTGCTCATAAAAGGGTCTTGAGACTGTGTGTGTGTATTAAATACACAAAAAGCTATTAAAAAGTAATTGTTGATACTAAGATTTGAATCCTTGACCTTTACTATTTTCAATACACATACTCTACCAACTACTTTAACTCACTTCTTGTTAACATTTAATAATTTTTTTTATACTAATACTAAAACATGTAATATACATATATACATACAATTATACAAAGACTATATATGGGATAGGACTGGGGTGAGGGGACAGCTGCCCCCTGCCCCCCTCTGGCTCCGTGGGGACCCAAAAGGGTTCAAACCACAAGTCTTACCATCTCAACAAACTTAGAATTCATGAATGTAAATGTATATTACATAATTATTATATTGCAAAATTCTATATCTATACAACTTTAATAAGAGCCAATAATATTGTTAGATTCCTAACAGGAACTAAAAAATGTAAGTCAAACAATATGCTATAAAAGATTATACTTTGTGCTCTTCCATTTAGACAATGCCACATTAAAATCCTAATCTAGCCTCATTGTTTTTTGTTTTACCAAACTAAAATGAGAAAATTTCAGTTTTGATCCTATGACTATAGGTGTCTTGTTAATTTCAGTTCATGACCAGGACCAGGAGAGTACGTGTTGGAAGTTATTAGCTTGGATGGGGGGTACGGTGGAACCAGTGGTATGCTTCTACGGATCATTACCACCTTGAACGTTTTGGCAAAGAGGCAGATGGTAAATCTATACGAAATTTTATGGTGGATGCCATTTGTTGTCATTTTGGGGCACATGAAAAATTAACAGCACAGTATAGTACACCAATGTGTGTTACTGAAAGATGATGAGGTGGAGCCGATGGATGAAAATATGTATGATTTTTGTTTGATATCCATTGAATTTGATTTTAATTGTGAATTCAATTCTTATTCTTATCTGTTTCAAATCCTACTATTATATTCTTATTATTATTTTGCAGATTAAGGAAAAGGTAAGCATGGAGACTGGCCTAATTTACCAACTTTCACATAAAGAGCTCCGGGAAGAGTATGAAAAATTTGTTGAATTTTGCAAATCTGCACTCACTTACTATGAGGAGGACCATGTATGTATATCAACTCTACTTTCCTGCCCAAATCAACTTGCCTTCGTACGTTTTCAGAAATTTTTATTTACTTTCTCACATTTATTGCATTTTGTTTTTAATTTTAATTTATTCTTAATAGTCGATATGATGGTTATTGTAGTGCTTGTATTTATATTTAATTTTTAATATCATTAAAACTTAAATAGAGTTTGACACGTGAATTTACTTTTTGCTCAATATAATTATGTCTGTAATGAATTGATTGACTCCATTAACTTTTAATAAAGAAAAGTAAAGTACTAATCTCATGATTTGGAGTCTGGAGATTGTATTTTTAAAATAATAGTTAACAAATTAACAAATAATTGATAATGATAAATTGCAAATGTATTTTAAGAGTCAAGTAAATAGTACAATATACTTATATCTTATATGTCATTCATCATCATGTAATCATCAAATGATATATAAGATATAAAATACATTTGATGGTGGACCATCAAATGTATTTGATAAGGACATGGGCCGTTCTTGTGAGGAAGCCCAGAATGATCATTTGATGGTGGACTACTCTTTGGTTTCCATTGAGCAAAAAAACTCGTTAGAGGCGGGTCCTGTGTACCAGGCCCGCCTAGATCAATGAGTCTCTTATCCTGGAACTGCCGGGGCATAGGCAACCCCGAGACAGTTCAAGTTTTAGTGGACCTTGTCCATAAGAGGAAGCCTGTGTTAATTTTTCTTATGGAGACCTTATCAAATAGCGATAGTATGTTGAGTATTAAACAAAGACTAGGATGGCATGGTTGTTTTACGGTTGATCCAGTGGGCCGGGGAGGTGGTCTAGCACTTTTATGGAAGGAAGAAATCACGGTTACTGTTACTAGCTCCTCCCTAAACCACATTGACACTGAGATCCAACTGGAGGGTAGTGACGCTAAGTGGAGATTTACTGGTTTCTATGGTATATCGGATAGAACGAGAAGAGTGGAGTCCTGGAATTTGCTTACCAACCTTGCGACTCGTAGTAACCTTCCTTGGCTGCTTATGGGGGACTTCAACGATCTCCTTCATCATCACGAAAAAAGGGGCAGACACCCTCATCCCGAATGGCTCCTTAGGGGCTTTCGTCATGCAGTCGACAGTGCGGGTCTCAGGGGACTATTTTTCGAGGGCCACCAATTCACTTGGGAAAAAGGTAGGGGAACGGAAAATTGGGTCGAGGAAAAGTTGGATAGGATCCTAGCAAATGATTCTTGGTTCGAAAAATTTGACATGGCTAGAGCCATCTCCGAAGATGTCCCGTCTAGCGACCATTTGCCTCTTATTGCAACACTTATCCCCACTGCTAGAGGTAACAGAGTAAGGAGATTTCGTTTTGAGAATGTCTGGATTAAGGAAAGCAGATGCAGGGAGCTGCTGAGTTTAATATGGGAGAATTCCAGAGGCGAAGAAATTCCTTTACGGCTGAACAAGTGTAGTCACGCCATATAGAGATGGGGCAAGGATCTGACCAAGAATTTCAATTTGAAAATTGAGGGATACAGGAAACAGATGGATAACTTGCGTGAGAGGCATGACCATCACAGCATGATTTCTTTCCGCGAAGCTCAACGAAACTATCTAGCCACCCTCAAACAACAAAGTGATTTTTGGAGACAACGAGCCAAAGTGTCTTGGTATAGAGAAGGAGATGCAAATACTAAGTTCTTTCATAATGTTGTTCATGGTAGAAGGAAGACAAACAGAATATACAAGCTCATGGATGATCAAGGTCTTTGGAGGCATCGTGGTCCAGACTTACACAGCCTCATATCCACGTACTTTCATAACCTCTTTTCCAGTAGCCCAGGAGACTCTGAGAGGGTCATCAACTGCTTATCACCAAAAATCACTAGTAGCCAGAACTCGGTCCTTCTCCGTAGAGTGTCTCATGACGAGGTTAAGCAGGCCGTTTTTAGCATGCATCAAGATAAATCTCCGGGACCGGATGGCTTTAATCCGGGATTCTATCAGGCTTATTGGGACATCCTAGGTAATGATTTGGTTCATCTCTGTAATTCTTTCTTTGCCTCCGGTACACTGCCATACGGGATCAATCATACACATATTGTACTTCTCCCAAAGAAGAACAATCCACAAACGATGGGGGACTTAAGACCTATTGCCCTTTGCAACGTCTCTTACAAGATCATTTCAAAAGTCATCGCCAACCGTTTGAAGCCGCTGCTTAACTCCTTGGTCTCGGAAAATCAATGTGCCTTCGTTCCACAAAGGCTCATAAGTGACAATATTATGTTGGCTTTCGAAACACATCATTTTTTGAGGAGGAAAACGCAAGGGAAGGAAGGTTTTGCAGCTATCAAGGTGGATATCTCAAAGGCTTATGATAGAGTAGAATGGTCTTTTTTAAAGGCTATATTGCTCAAACTGGGATTTGATGTAAAATGGGTCAACCTGGTTCTGCATTGCGTTTCTACTGTCTCCTACAGTGTTATTCAGGAAGGGGAGGAAATTGGCCACATTCTGCCCAAGAGAGGTCTTCGCCAGGGGGACCCTCTTTCCCCATATTTATTCATTCTCCTTGCAGAAGGGCTAAGCGCGATGCTGAGCAATATGGAGTCTCGAAGCATCATTCATGGTATTGCCATTGCCAGAGAGGCCCCGAGAATATCCCACCTCTTTTTCGCCGACGACAGTTTTTTCTTCATCAAATCCAACCAACAGGAGAGTATGGCGTTGAAAGAGGCTCTTGATTACTATGGTCAGGCTTCCGGGCAGATTATCAACTATGATAAGTCAGCCGTGTTTTTTAGTGCTAATGTTGGCAGTGGCATGAGAGAGTTTTTCAAGAACATCCTCCAGATTAGGAATGATGGTGCAGCCGGCAGCTACCTGGGACTCCCCTCTATCATTAGTCGTAACAAAAGGAACATCCTCAGTTTTATTAAGGAGCGCATTGTCACAAGAATGAGGGGATGGACAAACAGATTTCTATCTAGAGCAGGAAGAGAGATTTTGCTGAAGAATGTTATCCAGGCTGTTCCTCTACATGCGATGAGTCTTTTTCTCCTGCCCAAAGAACTAATTAGGGACATTGAACGAACCATGAATTCGTTTTGGTGGAGGGGGGAATGCAATGGCAGACGGGGTATCAACTGGAAGGAGTAGAAACACCTCTCTTGCCCAAAAGAATGGGGCGGCCTCAATTTCAGAAATATGAGAGATTTCAACTTGGCTATGATCACTAAACAGTCAAGGAGAATGTTACAAAACCCAGGCTCATTGGTAGCAAGGGTGTATAAAGCAAAATATTTTCCCAATTGTTCTATTTTGGAAGCAAGAAAAGGGGGCTGCCCGTCGTATATATGGAGCAGTATTGTTGAAACCTTGGACATAATTCGCAGCCATACCAGGTGGAGAATTGGTGATGGAAGATCAGTTAGAATCTGGGGTGATAAATGGCTGCCAAGCTTAACAAACGCAATGGTGCAGACACCACCTTTCCCTCTGCTTGAGAACGCACCAGTATCTACTTTGATTAGGGAGGAGTCTTCGTGTTGGGATGCTGATGTTATCGGCGATATCTTTGGGGAACGGGATGCAAATCTAATTCTTAGTATTCCCCTCCCTATCGCTGCGAGAAAAGACAAACTTATTTGGAATGATGATAAGAATGGTATAATCAGTGTTAGGGGCTGCTACAAGGCAATTTCTACTCAGTATGATCCTATCAACAAGAAGAAGTGGTCTACCATGTGGAAACTAAATATTCCTAGAAAAATCAAGGTCTTCGCGTGGCAAGCTTGCTCAGGATGCCTCCCAACAGCTGATTGTTTGCGCTCCAGAAGGGTGGATTGCCAGTATTGCTGTTCTTTGTGTCAATCAATGGAGGAGACAACTTCACATCTCTTTATCAATTGCAGTTTCGCCAAGGAGTGCTGGGATCTTAGTGGCATTCCAGTCAGTACCAGTGTCTTCCCCTCCTTTGAGTTTTGGGTCGACCACCATGTGGCCATGCTAGATAAGGATCAATGTCGTCTTCTGCTATTGATCTGTTGGAGAATCTGGCTTGCGAGGAACGACAAGATATGGAATAACAAGATCACCACCAGCAGAAGACTTGTTGAGGGTACGAAGTTGTTCTTGGCGGACTGGAACTCAGCTCTAGAACAGGCCTCTAGTTTCGCCAATACAAGATTACCAGTTATCCGCAAATGGGAGAAACCATTGCCAGGCTACCTGAAGATGAACACTGATGCTGCTATTAATTTAGAGAATAACCGTGCGGGCTTCAGATGGGTTTTGAGAGATGACTGCGGCCAGTTCGTAGCGGCATCAAGTATTCCAGGTGAAGGAGCTTCATCACCGAAGGAGGCAGAAGCCATGGCCATCAGAGAGGCTTTGAGCTGGATCAAGAGGATCAATCTCCACAACGTGCAAATTGAATGTGACGCACAGCTGGTTGTCCAGAGTCTCAACCATGTTCAAGAAGTGTCTTCATGCGATCTTGTGCTTCTTGATGTTATCGATATGCTTCGTTCCCTTACCGGCGTTGCTATCTCTTATGTTAATCGTACTGCGAACAGTGTTGCCCACATTCTTGCTCGGGAAGCCTGTTCTATGTCTGTACGTCAGGAGTGGGTGTCTACTCCTCCCTCTTGTATTGTTAACGATCTCTATACTGATTTAAGTTAATGAAGTTTATTTGATTTCCAAAAAAAAAAAAAAACCGAAAACCACAGATGCTCACCCCTAAGTGTACGACGCGGTGCGGACACGTGGCGGCACATGAGATTGAGTGTACAAATCACCCCACTGCCCCACCACTGGAGGGTTAGGTGCCTTCGCCTACTGCCTTGTCTGTCGTCTTCATCCAAGTGGCTGCTTGGACTTCTATTTGGCTCTTCTCCATCTTCTTCAATAATTCTTCTTCTTCTGCTTGCTTCCTCCAAGCTTTTCCTCAGCAGAGGTACACAGTTTTTGCTGCGAGATTTAAGGTGTGAATCTTAATAAGGTATGGAAATGGATCCATGCCCAAAAGGCCTCAAGAACTCCACAGATGCAGATAACTCGCTGCCCGAGTCAACTCAGTTGCCTCCTCCTTGTGCGTTTCCAGATGAGGTACTGGAAAAGGTCCTTTCTTTCCTGGAGTCCCACAAAGACAGGAACTCAGCTTCGCTTGTGTGCAAGGACTGGTACCATGCCGATAGGCGGAGTCGAACTAAGGTCTTCATTGGCAACTGCTACTCAGTGTCTCCTGAGATTGTTGCCAGGAGGTTTCCCAAGATTAAGAGCCTTACTCTTAAGGGAAAGCCCAGATGTTCAGACTTGAATTTGGTACCTCAGAACTGGGGTGGTGATATTCATGATTGGCTAGTTGTTTTTGCCAGAGCCTACCCTTTGCTTGAGGAGTTGAGGCTGAAGAGAATGACGGTGAGCGATGAGAGTTTGGAGTTGTTAGCTACGTGGTTTCATAGCTTTAAGGCGCTCTCTTTGTTGAGCTGTGATGGTTTTAGCACTGATGGGATCGAAGCCATTGCTACTCACTGCAAGAACTTGACTGAGCTTGACATACAGGAGAATGGTATGGACGATTATAGTGGCAGTTGGCTCAGTTGCTTTCCAGAAGACTTTACGTCACTGGAAATCCTCAACTTTGCGAGCCTGAATAGCGAAGTCAGTTTTGACGCCCTTGAGAAACTTGTGGGTAGGTGCAAATCGTTGAGGGTTTTCAAGGTTAATATGAACATCAACCCACTGCAATTGCAATGCTTGCTTATGCGGGCGCCTCAGTTGGTGGAGCTTGGTAGTGGGTCGTTCCTGCAAGATCTCACCCCTCGGGATTTATCCGAGCTAGCAGATGTGTTTGGCAAGTGTAAAAATCTGAGCACCCTTTCGGGTTTATGGGAAGTCACCTCTATTTTTCTTCCGGTTCTGTATCCAGCTTGTGCCAATCTGACGTTCTTGAATTTGAGCTATGCAACCATTCGGAGTAGTGAATTTGGCAAGCTTCTTAAGCATTGCCCAAACTTACGTCGCCTCTGGGTTCTTGATACAGTTGAAGATAAGGGACTAGAGGCTGTCGGGCATAGCTGTCCATTGCTGGAAGAAGTACGAGTCTTCCCCGCAGATCCTTTTGATCGCAGGGTGACTGAGAAGGGGTTTATTGCAGTGTCTCTACTTCTGCAGGCAAATGACAAATGCTGCTGTTGCTACCGTTGTGCACAACTGTCCCGATTTCACCCATTTTCGTCTCTGCATAATGAATCCAGGCCAACCCGATTATCTCACAAACGAGCCTATGGACGAGGCCTTCGGTGCTGTGGTAAAGACGTGCAAAAAACTGCAGACCTTACGTTCGAATATATTGGGCAGTATGCCAAGAAACTCGAAACTCTCTCAGTGGCATTTGGAAATGTTGCACTGCTATCTGGGTTAGAGAAGTATGAATCTATGAGGTCTCTTTGGATGTCGTCCTGCAATGTCACTAT